GTCACATATCATTTCAGTATGTATCCCAAAAATATTCATTCTATACTCCTCCTAAGTTATGTATGGCTTCCATATAAGAGAAACAGAGAGGAAAAGATGGCGGCCACTCCTCAGTTACCTGTAGATTCCTGAACTTTTCACCCAAAGCAGTATCCAAGAGACCATCCATTCAGTAGACACCCAGAAAGCCTCATTTTCAGCAACTGGTAGACCCAGCTTAGCCAAGTTTGTGATTTCGTGAGATTTGGCAGCTTAGGGGAGAAGCAAGGACAGATATAAATGGGTTACTGAAAGCCTATGTTGTTAGAACTCTGGCCTGCTCCAAGCCTCTCCCTTCCTAGTCCCACCAGAATCTGGGTGCAAATCCCAGCCCCCTACTACCAGCTCTGTGACGTTGGCAAGTCACCCAAACTCCCTCTGAGTTCTGTTTGCCATAGTTTTCCTGGGTCCCGCACTGCCCAGTTTCTGCCCAGAAAATACAGACTCCTCTGTGACCCAGAACCAGTGACAGGAGGTGCCACCATAAAAGGGGCTTTTTCAGTATATCCGAGTAGGTTGAGGCCTGGGTACTCATTCTTTTTTTGAGAGGTAGTATCCAGCATCTGATACATGGTAGTTGCTCAAAAAGTGTTTGCAGAAGGAAGAGAGGAAGGAAGGAAAAAGACGAATCCCTGCCTCACAGAGATGTTTGGTGAAGTTAAACAGCGTGTATAAGCTTCCCATCCCAGTGCCTGGCACATAGGGGGAATTCATTATTCGTTCCCTTCCCTACTCTGGCCTACAGTGCAAAAGCTATCTGGGAAACATAGGACATGCAAGCATCATGAATGGATATACATTCACTTACAGGACTAATTCACATACCAAAGCCTAAAGGAATAGGACCAGAGCAAGAAAGTTTATGTGAGCGTCCAGGAGGGCCCTTAAAGTTTCATGACTTGGTATTCCTATAAGGAAAGGTACTAAGGTAGTAGCGGCGATAAGAGGAGGAGAGGTGGGGGTGATGAGATTGAGAGACAAGCAGAAGGTGGGAAGTCCTATAGTGAGCCTTTGGGATGGAAAGGCCGAAAGCAGGAGGACAGCCTCATCTACGCCACCTGCAGGACAGATGAAGTAGTGGCAGACCAAGAGCGCGGGTAGACTCTCTGCGTCCCAAAACTAAACAGAGAGCTGTCCTCTGATTCCCAGGCCTTGGGATTCTTGCTCCATTATCAAAAGACCAACCTAAGAGCTGTTTTCTTCTTTGAGTAAAACAACAAAACCTGTCTGCTTTGAGAGTTTAGTTCCTGGGAAATAAATGTTAAAATACTCATTTAACTGAGGATGATATTTTTCATGTCTTTTTCCAAAGGAAGTTAGCTGCAGATTCTTCCAAGTGACTTTCTATTATTTGAAAATAAACAACTTAGATCTAACCCAGTTAACAGTATTGGAAAAGGGAATGTACTGTGCACGTTGTCCACAGCATTGCTGGATAGGGAGGGCTGAAATGGAGACAGTGAAATAAAAGCATCAAGAATATTCCCTTTATCGCTGGAAGATTGGCACGACCAGATGAATGTGTGATTGATACCATTACTCTCTTTTCTCTCACTGAAGATGGTTATAAGAAACCCAAATGTAAGTTGCCTGTTGAAGTTAGGGCTTAAAATATACTCAAATCTAAAGTATTATGTTTACTGAATATGCGTTAAAAATGAGAACCAATGGGCTTTCTCAATGCACACACACACAGAATAATGTGAAAATATTACACAAAAATAGTATATACATGCCAATTATGACATAAAAACATTTTATATCATTGATAAAATCAGAAGATAATCTGAAGCAATGCTGTAGTTGACTTAGTGCTCATTGAGTTTCTGATGCGCTTTACAAATTGGGGAAATTTTTCTGGGTAAATATTAAGTCTTTCCACATATGTACATTTAAGGTACATTTAAGGCGAGTTTCCTGAGAAGATAAATGCTCACGAGGAATAAGCAGGAGTTGATGAGGGAAATCTTAATTTGCATCTTTCCTGCCTTAAATGCCTGAAAGTATAATGTTGCATGAATAAGGCTTTTAGTGTTTAATGTGATACGACTTAAACATTCTCTTTTTGCTAGGGTCTATAAAACCTTTGCTATTAATGGCCATTACTTCTCATTTTTATCTACCAAATTTACCAAGGAAGAAAAAGTATGTAAAGGCTTCCATTTGTCTGCTCAAATCTTTTCTATTATCTGGCAATAAACTTCAGTTCTCTTAAACCTGGGACAATCCACTTGGCAAGGGACTCTAGGTGATCCATCCAAGCATGATCCTTTACATAGTGTAGGGCTTCCACTTGTCAACCTGCTCTCCTCGCTGTCCTTAGATCCTCCCAACATTCCTGCTGAAGTAGATAGAGTAATATTCGACAGCCATCAGAGATCTCAAAACTGACACATTGGTAAAGCTCCATCTTCCCTGATTTTGCACAGCTAGGAATAGTAAAACTTGGCCATAACACCATAAGTGAAGTCTAAAGCACTTAACCAGGGAAACAGATTTGTATTATTTCAGGGTTAATCGAGTGACCGGGAGAAACCTATGCAGCTGAACTTCCTGGGCCTTCCAGGGCTCCAACTGCGGGATACAGACCCACCCTGGTCCCCGCTGTGATTCAGCATCAGCTACCATCTGCTCCAGCTTAAATCCGGGAGGGGATGATTCCAGGACTGGTTGGGGCTTTTTTGAGAGTAGCAAGAAGTCCCAGAGTCTCCCAGGTATTTGAGATCCATTTCTTCAGATTGATCCAGAGACTGAATTGAGAGACCCCACTTCCCACGACGAGGTTGCTGGCCATTTCCTCGCCTGTCCTACCCCTCCCTCCACATCTGCTCTTCCCCAGCTGGGAGATAAACACTCTATCAGCCACCTCTGACTGAGAATGGGGCTGGATGGGATATGGAAACCACTTCCGATGTGTCATATCCAGATTGTGGAGTTTCACTGTATTGGGAGAGCCAGACGCAGAAGTCAGAGCTCCTGGATTTCTAAAGTAAAGCTTTTTCCTACTTTGCCGGCACCCCCTCTGTTATGGCTCCAGGCTGCAGAGAGCATCAGACACGCCTCCCTGTGCTGGCAGCCTTCCTGTCTAACTCCCTGGGAAAGGCGGAGCTGACGGCCCAGAGTCAGAAGCCTAGTTCCCTGCCAGTTCCCCAAATCTGGGGTGGTTATTATGCGGATGACTGAGAAAAAGGACAGAGAGTGGTATCCGGGAGTGTTGTATCCTTCTTTTAACTTCCAACGTGTTCTACAGGCTGCTAGCTTAACACAGCGCATGAATTCTGCCTACATCTCACAAGCCACTTGCTTATTCACTATCTCCATTTAACACGTCTTATGAATTTCATCCGTTCTGTTTATTTTTCTTGTCTTCACTGGAAGAATTGAATATTCTCAAATCCTACACCAAACACACTTTGAAAGCAGAAAGACCTAGAGAAAAAATAAGATTAAAAACAATAACAACAACAACAACCAGAGATAACATTTGATTTATGGTGGCAGCAGAAACAGAAACCAAAACAGAGAGTATCTGACTCACGATAATGGTGGAGTTTTAAGCAGAAAGTGGTGGGTGCCTCCTGCTAAGGGGGTGACAAAGTGCCAGTCACTGGGACTGCGTGGTGCTTTAGGGTTCATCAGCAGCCTCCTTTCCATGACCTTGTCTCTGCTCCTTTGATGGAGATAAATCATAATTAATACATTAGTATTATTATATAATTAATACATAATTATGGTAATTATTAATGATAATACACCATTGTTGTTGCTAGTTAACATAGTCAATCCCGAGAAGCCATCCTTCCCAGTCACCTCTCTTCCACTTTCAGCCTCCCTTGTGCTGGAAATCACACTTGGGACAAGAATAAGGATGGGGCCCTCATCCACTTCCCCCACATCCACTCCCAGCCCCTGGCAACCACCTTTCTACTTTCTGTTTCTATGAGTTTGACAGCTCTAAATACCTTACACACATGGAATCATATAGTATTTATCTTTTTTGTGAAACTGGCTTATTTCACTTAGCATAATGCCCGTAATTTTCACCCATGTTGTAGCATGGGTCAGAATCTCCTTCTCCTTAAACCTGAATAGTATTCCATTGTATGTATACACCACAATTTGTGTATTGAACCTCAAATTTAACTGGGCATCTTCTATTTTTATCTGCTAAATTTGGCAACCCTATTCTGAACACATCAGTCTAGATAAGCTTTTTCTAGAAATTAGACCAGAGTAGAGGTTGATCCCAGAAGGTATTTATAAAAGGAAAAATAAGGGGACATAGCTGACATCATTTTTATGCTGTGATTTTGCATAAACCATAGAAACAGGGTTCAAATGAATCCTGGTTTTGTCAACACTCTGTGTCAGGAGTTCTTAAACTGGAGTCTGTGCTAGAAATGCAGGGGGTCTGTGAACCCCTTGAAATCATAAGCCATGTAAAGTATATGTGCATCTTTGGGAGTAAAGTAGCCCAAATTAGATTCTCAGAGGTGCCTGAGACTCCTAAGGAGGTCAGGAGACACTGTCTGATTGACTGAGGGCATAGCTTTGAACTCAGGGAAGGCATTTTTGCTGGGGGCGTGGGTATTATTACACTTTAGATAGTTGATTTCCTGAATATCTAAACTAAAGTATGGAGAAAATCCCAGCACATTTAAAAAAGTGGAAAGTTAACCCATCTACTGAAGCATCCCTTTCAAATGAGGGATGAGTATAAGCAGCCATGCATTTCGCATCTTTCGCAGAAGCTGAATGGAAGCCAGTTCATGAGTGATGCTGATCTTTGTGAGGTTTCTGATGATAGGCATATACTTCATATATGTCAAAGTCCCTTAAAGAGAGAGATTAAGAAAAAGAGAGTGAGAAAAATAGAGAACAATGCCTAGACAATGAATAATCTTACTACCTGTAAAAAACAGATGACCGTTTTTATAATCACCACTTTATTTTTTCTTTAGAAATCCTTCATCAATTTACCAATAGCTCTTACCAATGAGCTCGACTGGCCCCAATTCTCTGGTGCTACTGGGTTTCTGGACTCCATTAGTGGGTACGTATGTTTGAGTACCTTTAAACATTTCAGTGTATCTATGTAAGGAAAGAACAAGAGATGGGGGCTTGCTTCCAAGATGTTGAAATGGGAATTATTAGGAATTCCTTGTAGAACATGAGTAACATACAAGAAATCCATCACTGACATAGAGTCCACTATGCAGTGGGATGTAATGCAAATTGTATTTTATCAGTGCTAGCAAGGAGGGAGTATTTGGCTCTAGAGTTGACCTCTGATGGAAAATACATAAACCCATCACCGAATTTTTCTCATTCAAGGGATAAGGATGTTTATTGATTATTTACTCTCAGAAATTAATATTTATAAAGGTAATGGCTAAAATTAACAGGCAAGTTGCAAGGTCCTGGAATCACCCTGGCTTTAATGCTCTGGATTTGAAGGTAGAGACAATGTATGACAAATCTGAGTGACACACAAACCCAGTTTGCTGTGTGTGATTGGGTGTTGACTCAGAGCGTGGGAACAAGCACTCATAGGGTAGCACCCTATTTTTTAATTTAATAGAGGACATTGTGTATCATGAATAATTTATTTGATTATTATCTTATTATCTTCACTCATTCATCTAAAAATACCTATTAAATAATTACTACCTCATCAGGTACAGATGCTATAGATGTTTCAAAGGTAAATAGGGCTTGACCTGTCTCTACAGCCAATTACAGTCGAGTAGGGCAGATAAGACAATAATGATAATAGAAGAGAGATGTGCCAAAAGACAATTCTCAACACAGAGCTACAGATTCATTGAAAAAATAATTCATAGAATTAATCAACAGTCACTTCTCTTGGGGGTGTTAGGCAAGGGCCAAACCCTAAAGGATTTACGAGATTGGGGTAATGAAAAAGGTAGAGAGGAAACTAGGAAAGGTAACCAACCTTAAGGAAAGGGTACTCATAATTATGTAGGAATCACCTGTGAGTGTAGGGAAAGCAGAGGAGATGCACTTTCAAGTTTAGGTATAGGTTTTCAAGTTTAATCATGTGAAAAATTAGGTTAGTATAATAATACTAAGAGGATCAGTGATAGGGAGCGTAAGAAGTAACCTTCGTGAGGTATTTGCTACATACCAATCACTGTCCTGAGTGTTAAGTAGAGATTTTTCTCATTTCATCTCTTTGTGAGGGAGGTGGCGTTAACTTCTGCATTTCACAGTTAAGGAATCTAAGGGTTAAGCAGACAGGTTAAGAAACTTGACCAGGGTCCCATGTCAATAAGAAGTGCGATCTGTTGTCATGGAACCTGATGTTACATTGTCCCAGAGAATGATTTGGTGAGCAAGGGTCCTCCTAACCCCCAGCTCCCAACCTTTATGAGCTGTTTTCATTCCACCTATGGGAACATGGCTCTCTGGAGTCTTTGTCACTTTGAGAGCATGGCTATGGGCTGGAGAAATGACTAAAAACTAGAGGAGCCCTCCCCTAGGGAGATGTGCTGTGTATCACCTCAAAGGTCAATAGGGGGTCCCTTGCTAGGGCGCCCATGCTCCCAGCGGTCTGGGGCCCCCTGCATGCCCACCTCAGTCCCTCTCTCCTCAGCTGCACCTGCTGTTGTCTTTGTCACCTGGAACACATCTAAAGATGGCCGGTCTAGAGCGGCTTCCTGGAAAAAAGACTCTTGTGGATCTCCCCACTGCCAACGTTGGAATGGAGGAAATAATATTTAAGTGGCCCCCACGATCCAGCCATGTAAAAAATACCTGGAAGTTTCTCTAAATTAAGCCTTTTAGGACAATAACAAGAAGAATTCATTATGAGTGAGAAGTGGACATAGTTTATTATACTTTTAATGGAAGCTTAACTTTAAGTTGCACCCTGTAAAATTCAGCCACTTTTTGATCCAAAGCCTCACAAAGTTGCCATTGAGGAAATATCAGTCTAATGTTTAAAATTAATTGCAAAGTAGCTTAAATCTTCCCTGGAGTCATGCAAAGAATGAAAGACGCCACTCAGCAGGCCCAGCTGAAGTGAAAACTCGTTTCTGCATTTCTTTCCACTTATAGCTCACATTCACCAACAGGTGCCCCACATCTCCTGCAACTAATTTTCCCCAAAACTCTACTCCAAAATAGCTCCTGCTCCCAAGCACACTGTTCAGTTGTTTTAGGGTTGTTGTGTTTTTTGTGGGGGTTTTTTTTGGTGGGGAGGATGGGGGGTGGCAAGGGGAGCCAGTGTCCTTCTTCCCTTCTCTGTCTCCTCTGTCCTCACACCAGGAGTTTGCTCCCTTCTCAATGTGAAATCCCATTAGCCCTCCAGTCCCATAGCCATGTCCACCACCATCCCATCAGAGTCCAGCAGGCAGCCAGATCTTTCTTAGGAGAAAGGCAGTGTGGAGAAAGAGAGAGGAAAGTTGCCAGTTTTCAGACACTCATGGGTTATAATCCTTATAAGGATTGTGCAGAGACATTCTGACACCATCTCACAAAGGAAGTGACTGTCTAGGTGTGTTTTATGTGAACCTCACCCCCATCCTGAGCTAGTCTATGCTGACTTTGCACCTTCTTGTGTGAGACTCTGTGTTGCCATTTATAAAAACTCAGTCTGCTTGGGCAGCCCCCTCAGTGTTAACTCTGAGTACCATCCTTATCTGTTGTTTCTAAGGAGGTGTGCACCCCCACTGGTGTGCTGTAGGGTCACCTACCCTGATGGAGCTTTCCTCTCTCTGTTTGTGGGACCCCAGGTTATCTAGTTGTCTCTTTTTGCCACCTGTTTCTGTATGCTATGCCTGTGTTCTCTGCCACCCAGCTGGAATGAGAAAAAATATATTCAGTTCCTTTTGATAGAAAAGGAAATTCTCTGTCTGGAATCTTGAGTTGCCGTGGATTCCCCCCGTAGGCAGACACAGTAGCATGATACCCACTGTGTGTCACCATTCAGGATGTGTGTCCCCCACCCACCCCCCACCCCCGCCCCCAGCAGGAGGTCCTGTTAAATTATCTCTATAATCTCATGCAAATTATACCTGCAGATAATCTATGCTGGGCCAATCTCCTTCTTAAAAGAATGAAGATTTGTAAAGTGTGTAAAAAATATTAAAGATTAGAGTATGATGAAGATCCTCTTCTGGTGAAATTGGGCAAGTGAAAAAACTATTGACCCAGAAGCAGCATTTGTGAGCCATGTAGGCAGCTTCCACAGGCATTTTGAGCAAATGTCCTTTTGAGTCCAAATGCTTATCAGCGCAGGATAGAGTGTATTGCTTTCTCTGTTCACCTGGATCTGTAGAAAGTGCTTCCTATTATCTGTGATCGGCCTCATGCTTTGTGTATTAACAATGTTCTTTGGAAAATGTACCTTTGAAAGCAAAAGAATGAAGTTTGGGAGAGAAAATGGTTGCTTTCCTTTTCTTTTTCCAATATACCCTTCACCCCTCAAAATTTCGTATCTTTTTTATAAGATAAATGGAACTAATTGAAATTACATGCATGCATTAAAAGACAAACACAACCCCTTACTTTTATAAATCTACATTCTGGGGTCCCTGGGTGGCTCAGTTGGTTAAGCATCCGACTCTTGGTTTCAGCTCAGGTCATGATCTCAGGGTCATGATATTGAGCCCTGCATTGGCTCCATGCTGAGTGTGGAGCCTGCTTAAGATTCTCTCTCTCCCTCTCCCTCTGCCCCTCCCCCACTGCTAGTACATGTTCTCTCTCTCTCAAAAAAAAACAAAAACAAAACACAAATCTTTATATCCTTCAGTTGAGTCTATATTAACAAAAATCTGTTCTCTTGACACTCAGGGTCCAGAAAATTCAAAAAGCAGTATCTTTTAAAACCATGCGGGGTTTTGTTTTTGTTTTTGTTTTTGTCTTCCCAATGTGATTCAGAAAGCAACTGAGTGATTCAAAGGCAAAAACAAAAAACAAAAAACCCACCTTGTGAGGCTGGTAGTTTGGAGGCTGGGAACCCAACAGTAACTAACATTGGGAAGGAAAACTATAACTGTGAGTAAGAAGAAAAAGGTATTTTTCTAAAGATTAAAAAGAGTACTTCATGTTCAGATCACCTTCAAAAGCAATTAATGTAAGAGAAAAATCCTATTTAAGGTAAAGAACCCAAGGCCCCATAACACATGTGGAAATGTGGGAAACAATACCAAAACTCAGGAAGGACTTCTAATTTACAAGCAATACTTAAAATTCCAGAGCCCTGTGAGTCAGTGTGATGAAGTAGGAGGAAAACTGTATTTACAGGTACAAGGTTCTGGTTCTGTATGGCCCTCAGTGGAATAGAGAGCATCCCTGGACCTCATTTATATGTTGAAGTTGAGTTGTACCTAGCCATCTCTGAAGTTCTCCCCAGTGTTCAAGTTTAGTGGCTACAGGGCAATGTGCTGTTAAAGTCCACAACCTACCTTATGATGCTGCTTGGTTTAGAAGCATTGGAGGAAGCTGGTAGGAAAATATGCTGCTGCATCTCCCCACCAAATATGTTTTTCTCCACCCCTTAACTAGCTGTGCCTTCAGACAAGAAAGACCTGGCTGATTTAATGGATCAGAGCCTGAAACATTCTAGGAACCATGTTTCTCTAGGGCCAGCGTTGCTGTGCCATAAAGTCTGAACCCTTGCATAGTAAGCCCCGCACTGTGTGGTACTGGGTGCTGGACCATCTATTCGTTAAAGTGGCACTCCATAATTGTCTTTTGTGGGTACTGTTTCCTCCAAGCAAACCTCAGAAAGGGAAACAGATAACTCCAAACCCTTAACAAAAATAACCACTTGAACCCAACTGCATATATCCTGAGCTTTTATGGTTGTCCAAATCCCCTTCTGAAAGTGGGGCCAGGGATGGTCCAGTCAGTAGAGTTCTGCAGGCTGGGGCTAAATGGTAGAGAAGTCCTTCAAAGCTGGAAGGCAGAGGGGACTGAGAGGAAAAACAGGGTAGCAATCAGAACTTTAAAAAAAGAAGATGAAGTTAGCCATAAAAAATCATGAAAGCCAAAAGAGCCAAGAGCATTTACCAAAGTTATATTAGG